AGGAGACCAAGACATCACTGGCAAAGAGAAGGAGCTCATTGGCCCGCAAACCACACCGTCATCCGGTAAGCCAGACATCTCCTTACTTCATGCTTCCAATGTGAACTCAGACATTTTTGACAGTAACATAAAAACTGAGCTAAGTCAGACATCAGCGCAAAATTTAGACCAGACAGATAAAATTACCCAGGAACTGTTACTCACAGATTTCACACAACCTACAGTAAAGAGCGATGAGGTCGATGCCCAAATTGAATTAGCACAAAGCTTAGAAAGAAGAGACATAGAAAGCACAAACGCTGGGCTCAATATTGACGCCGACATAGTGCCAGAAGTGTCCCTGAAGGCAAGTCCGGTGGTGGTCCACGTGCCCACTGTTGATATCCAAGCCTCTATGCCCGGTGATGTTGAATTGCCGAGCCTCGATGTGAAGGCACCAGACCTTGAGGGAGATTTGAATGTGAAAGCTGACATCCAGATGCCAGAGGCGCACCTCGACATTGAGCCGCCTGCCGCAGACATGCACGTTGATACTGGTGGCAAGTTTGAGTTTCCATCCATGAAGATGAAACTGCCTCATCCTCACCTGAAGCTTGGCGCATCGGGCAAGGTGAAGGCCCCGAAGGTGGATGTGGAGATGCCTGAGGTAGATGCTGGTTTGGACGTGTCAGGTGGCGTGACACTGCCATCTGCGGACATAGACGTGAAGATGCCGTCTGCGGACATTGACGTAAAATTGCCGTCAGCTGGCACTGAAGTGAATGCAGGCGGGAATCTGGAGATGGATACTGGTGGAGAGGTTCACGTGCATGGCAAGTCACCTTCCTTCAAGTTCAAGATGCCGAAATTGCATTTGGGCGGATCAGGCAAGGTGAAAGGCCCAAAGGTGGATGTGGAGATGCTTCAAGTGGATGCTGGTTTGGACGTGTCAGGCGACGTGCAAATGCCGTCAGCTGACATTGACGTGAATGCAGATGCGGATTTGAACGTGGATGCTGATGGCAAGATCGGACTGAAGAAGCCGAAGTCGCCGACCTTCAAATTGAAACTCCCACACACGCACACGAAAATGGGCAAGTTTGAAAAATTAAAGATACCTACGTCGGAAATAGGGTCCGATCCACAGGATGTCGATTTAGATATCGCTGGGAAAACGAATATACCAGTAACGGAATTGCATGTTGGCATAGACCCGAATGTGGACATCCATGGTCCATGCACGATTACCATGGGGACGCCGAAGACGCCGTCCTTCAAAGTCGAACTACCAAAAGCGCACTCGAAGATGGGGAAATCGGGAAAGGTAAAGGGCCCGAAAGTAGACGTGGAGCTGCATCAGGCGGATGAAGGCCTCGACCTGGCAGGCGACGTGCAACTGCCGTCAGCTGATATTGACGTGAATGCAGGTGCAGATTTGGACGCGGATGCTGGTGGAAAGATTGGCCTGAAGAAGCCGAAGTCTCCGTCCTTCAAGTTCCAGATGCCGAAGTTACACTTGGGCGGGTCAGGCAAGGTGAAGGCTCCGAAGGTGGATGTGAGGACACCTGAGGTGGATGCTGGTTTGGACGTGTCAGGCGATGTGCAACTGCCGTCTGCTGACATTGAT